TTACGCGAGCAGGGGGCCGGGTCTACTACCGCCCCTCACAAGTTTTTTTTTTTTTTTTGACCCCCATTTTTGGAGGTGCGCCGCATGCAGTGCGCGCGCGTCGTGCGGGATGCGCCGTGCGGCGCACGTGCGCAGTGCAGCGCATCGCGATGCGCCGCATGTATGCTGCTATTACATGTTTCCTATGTTTCCTAGTAAACATTATCACATGATTCCCCCGTTCATTAATGCCGGGAATTTAACCTGCCTTTCAGATAGATTTTACCGATCTGACGAGAGACTCCTAATCTTGGGATCCATTGTGATCATAAACTACCACCTTCCCTACTTCAACCCCCATTTCCCATTTACAACCAAGGGATGTTGCCAACTTCATGTGCAAAAACAGGATGGAAATGCACTAGAATTTTCAGGATTAGGAGGAGCCATGTGAGATAACGAATGCCTCCCATAAATCCATGAGAGCTGAAAACGGAACCTACCAGACAGCAGCCAGTTCTGAAGTAGCAATGTAAATGACCTTATATCTGGAGTAGATCCCACCCCAAGGAAAGAGTACGACCCCCGTATATGACTTCCTGCTCCATGCGAAGAAGTGAATGTCGTATTATCGTCTTTTTTTCTGATAGATGCATAACAGCATACCCCTGGTTAGCACCTGGGAAAAGGTGCACAACTCCGGCCCCCAACGTGCAGTCCACGTTCTAAAGCACCTGCACACAAAGAAGCAGAATAGGAAGCTTCAAAAGCCCTTCCCTCTCTCTCTCCTGCTTACAAGCTTGTGTCGTCAAAAGCCCTGGCCCACAGGGAACTCCATTCGGGAAGCGACATTGCTGAGCTATATATAGAACACGAGAAAGGGTGTGCATAGCCCGCAACGTGGCAAATGCTAACTCGGAAGTTTGAACCCCAATAGCTTCTGTGGATCTAGCACACATTTTGTAGCCATGCATGCCAGCTGATACCTCATTCCACTCACCATCAACCAATCAATTGTTGGCTACAGCCCTCTTCACTCTTGAACTTCACCCGACCGCACTAAGTCAACGAGAACAGATCTGACACCGAGCAATCACCAACATCAAAGAAACTACCAAGGGATTCCCACCACGTTCACTTTCAGAAGGCCACCGCACTCAGCCAGTGCACACGGGTCTGCCAGCGGACGATCACCAACCTCAAAGTAACTATCGTGCGGTGTGATTCTTCCCGAGTTCTGCCACTGTGTAGTTCGCTGCTACGCTGTTTGCCACAGACTTTTTCTCTTTTTCCAGCCTTTCTGTGGCATACGATTGTTTGTTCTTTCCTAAGCGCCATCAGCACTACAGCTTATACAACTCTCCCTACCCTTTCCCACTCCCCTGCCCTGCCACGCCACCCATTACCCTCTCCCACTCAGCCAGTGCACATGAGTCTGCCAGCGGACGATCAGCAACCTCAAAGTAACTATCGTGCGGTGCGATTCTCAGCAAGTTCTGCCACTGCGTAGTTCGCTGCGACGCTGTTCGCCACAGACTTTGTCTCTTTTTCCAGCCTTTCTGTGGCATTCAATTGTCTGTTCTTTCCTATAGCGCCATCAGCACAACAGCTTACACACCCTTTCCTACCCTTTCCCACTCCCACCCTGCCAGGCCACGCTACCCATTGCCCTCTCCCTTCTCCCCGCACTACAACAGACTTGCTCCGACCGGAACCTCCTCCACGTGTTAACTGAAGTAGAAAGGCGTAACAGCAAATGATCGTTTGCCATTCATGCCTGACTCAAGAAAGAAAGAAAGCAAGAAAGAAAGAACCCTCTCCTTTTCAATATCATTCCCAACTCCGAACCAGACTCCCGCCCTTCGTTCTTCTGGATAGAAAGTAGTCCATCCTCTCTCTTTCACAAGCCCCGTTAGGCACTCACGCTAAACCACCAGAGTACACCCAGGCCTGGCAGTGCTCGCGACGTGCGCAAAGCTTTTTTCCGAACGTCCAGCGGCGCACTTCTTTTCTGTTTTGGCTGGCGCCCCCAGCCAGCCAGCCATTGCCCATTGGCATCCGACGGCCCCGAGCCTCCAAAAATTTTGTAGGTGATCCACAAGGCTGGGGGCCGTGGGCCCGCGTACTGGCAGTTTAAAGCCAACTCAATGAGCGCACACTTGATTCTCTGCCAGAATTCATTATCAGAGCTTCTTAAAGTCTCATCAAAACAATTTTTATTCAGAGCACAGATGTTCAGTTCAGTCTTTCTATCTTGTTGCAGTTAATGCTTGACTTGCTTTTCTGACGCTTGCTGTTTCTAGAACGGACGAACCAGAATCTTGGAGTCCTAACACGCTCTGCGGAAGGCTGCCAGGAGACTACTTCGAGATCCTTGGCCCCACTTAAACGTGAACCAGTGACCTAATATCCGAAAGTTTAAAGTTCAGACATCTACAAACTCCACTTGTTTCACAGCATGCCACCTCTTGGCCTTGCCAACGATACCGCGAAAATGAGCACGGCCAGGTCTCTCTGCCCACTCTCTATTTGTTGTACACGCGAGTGCGCATGCACATGCCCACAATTAACAGGCGTGTCAACAGTTGTGCGGAGCGAGAATTCCGCTGCCACGCATTCTATTCCAATGGCAGAGTCGGAGTCCTGCTGCAATGCACCAAATTGCGATGATGATCGAGAGATGGTGAGAAGCTTGCTTCCATGCATTGTATCACAATGACCATCCATGAAAACAAGTAAAATGCCCGATGTCAACAGGACAGGATGTTGTGTCCTAAGCATGCACAACACCACCTACATGGTTTACGCAACTAACATGCTTTATGTTCCAACTAGAACTGACTATCAGCTTTTTACAAAGGACAAACAACAGACACCATTCCGTCACAGCTCTAAGTATGAAGTTTTACCTACCTACCGCTATGTCTTAAGAAAGAAAACAAGAGGGACGTACATCAACTAGCAAATGACGTGTTGCAGTCATTGCACAACTCCTTCCGCCCTCATCAATCCCATTACGAAAAGCGTAGATGGCCTAGGCAATCCTCTCTGTACAACCCTCCAGAAGAGGCCCCAGATTGATTGCCTACGTTCTAAAGAAAGGAAAACGGTTGGGGCATCGCATCATCAGAGCATCTCAATGGCCCCAAGGTGGCAAGGCCCCTAATCTGGGAGCATAGCCGAACGCAGCAGCGGAGTTTCGGTAGCCGCAGTACTCTGGTATGCATCCACCGTAACAACATTCTGAAGGAGACTCCACGTTACAATTTTTTTTGCTCTTCTTCGAAAGCCGCCAACCAAGAAGAGGAAGACTATGATTCCTGGTCAAAAGGCGGCCTGAAAAAAGTAAGCAACGAAAGTTGAGTAACAGATCATCATCGCCGTGCAAAGGGGCCTCCTCGAGTCAAATTCATCCCATTGGGGGACACCCCCCTGGCAATGACCAATGGAGAACGGCATATTGCCTTGGAAAACACGGCGCAGGCAACACCATACCATCATCATGAGCTCCATGGGTGGGAAAGCAGTCTCTGCTCCCCCTTCATCGCCAGTTTGCCAACATGCTCCCCCTGCGCCCACCTATACATACCGTGAGCAACCGCAAGAACTCTGTCCATGTCCGGACGGATCTCGATCTCACCTCAGTGCTCGCTCCACTGGATCGACTTGAGGTCTACATCCCTTCCCCCACCATCTCCCAAAGGGGGCTCTGTCCATGCGAGGAAGGATCTCGATCTCACGTCCGTGCTGGCTCAACTGGATCGACTTGAGGTCTACATCCCTCCATGCACCATCTCCCAAAGGGGGCTCTGTCCATGCGCGGACGGATCTCGATCTCACCTCAGTGCTGGCTCCACTGGATCGACTTGAGGTCTATCCCTTCCTGTACCATCTCCCAAAGGGGACTCATTTCTCGTAGCTTCTCCACTTGCTTCACTGTCATCTCAATTGCTCTGTCAATCTCCTCTTCGGCTGTAAACCGCCCGATGCCAAACCGTATGGAAGTGTGCGCCATGTCTTCCTCCACTCCAAGAGCTCGCAAAACATAGGATGGCTCAAGACTTGCACTCGTGCATGCACTACCCGACGACACCGCGACTTCCTTCAAACCCATCAATAAACTCTCCCCTTCGACGTACGCAAATGAGAGATTAAGGTTGCCAGGGTATCGTGCCTCTAAATCGCCGTTCACGACGACTGATTTCAGCCTAGAGGTCAGCCCGTCATACAGTTTCCTCTGGAGCCTCTTCACGTGCGCGGTGTCCCTTTCCATTTCCTGTTCAGAAATTTCACATGCAGCACCAAGGCCAACAACAAGTGGTGTCGGCACCGTGCCACTCCTCAGTCCTCTCTCTTGGCCGCCTCCGCTCATTTGTGCCTCGATGCGAACCCTTGGACGTCTTCGAATGTACAGCGCACCGACCCCTTTTGGCCCATACAGCTTATGTCCGCTGATGGACATCAGATCCACCTTCATGTCGTTCACATTTATCGGTATCTTGCCAACGGCCTGTGCTGCGTCCGTATGGAAGAAGACCTTCCTTTTTCGACATATTTCACCTATCTCCTTGATAGGCTGCACCACCCCGATTTCATTGTTCACGGCCATGATCGAGACAAGCGCTGTGTCCTCACGGATCGCTTCCTCCAGCTCCTTGAGATCTATCAGGCCATTTTTCTGAACCGGCAAGTACGTCACATCGAACCCCTCCTGCTGCAGGAAGCGGCACGAGTCGAGCACGCATTTGTGCTCCGTTTGCACTGTGATCAAATGCCGCTTTTTCTCCCGGTAAAATCTTGCCACACCCTTGATGCTGATGTTGTTCGACTCGGTCGCACCCGACGTGAAAATTATTTCCTTCGGGTTGGCACCAATAAGGTGAGCCACCTGCGCACGCGCCTTCTCCACAGCCTCCTCGCTCTCCCACCCATACATGTGAGTCCTGGAGTGGGGGTTGCCATACTGCTCCACAAAATACGGAAGCATTGCATCTAACACGCGCGGGTCCACCGGTGATGTCGCCTGTACGTCTAGATATAACGGTCGCCCAGCAAGGTTTACTCCTTTGATATCGATGGCTGGAGAAGGTTCAGCAGGAGCCACAGGTGCTGCTGCTGCCGCCGCAGTTCCCATGCCGCACTTCCATTGCAACTGGCTCAACGGCCTCAGCAGGAGGCTTGAAGTCCTCGACAAACTTTCAACGCTGCCAGTCTGTGGCAGTGGGGCTGCGGCTCTCGCTCTCTGGGCCAAACCTTGCCTCGCAAGACAAAAGAACTTGCCCAAAAGAGGCCTCGCACGGTTCGACACGTTCGCCATCTCTGTTTTATATCTTCTTTCGTCTTCTTTCAACCTCACAACAATAGACCTGTGTACCTGTCAAATGTCGCAAATGCCAATCATTAGCAAATAACTCTCAAATGTCGCAAATGCCAATCATTAGCAAATAACTCTCAAATGTCGCAAATGTGCCGATCATTAGCAAATAACTCTCAAACGTCGCAAATGCCAATCTTGTTAGCAATTCACTGTAAAATGATGCAAATGCCAATCATTAGCAGTGCAATCCAATTGAGCACAAGGACGAAAACAGGATGGCAAGCAGCCAAAGGAAAAGAAATGTGACGAGCTCAATATACAATCAGATTGCCCACAAACATAAGTGGCGGAACAACCACCAACAAGCATTGCATCCCACTAATGCAACACAGTAATGTAAGGGATGCCCAAGCATAGGCAGTACACTGTCGCACCAATGTTCCCCCCAATAAATCCGACTGAGGAGTGAACAAATGGGCTCCGCGCTTCACAGTGAGTGTGATGTGTGTGGTTCACATAGAGATCACTGGACAAAAAAAGAGTTTTGAGCTAGGTCAGTTGGTACACCCAAATGAACTGTGGAAATATGAATCAGACCCCCAAGTTCGAATCCAGATACAATCAGATGAGCAGAATAGCATCATTCTGGATTACCTGGGGCCGGTCAGTCCAAATGACGACATCTCAAGGTCGTTAACGTCCGGTTTCGACAAGTTCTTGCCAGCTCCCGAACTTTTAGGAGGCCGGGCCCGACAATGGCTGCCGTTGATAAATCTGATCGGCGGCCGTCGTTTTGTTTCAGCCTCCTGAAAGGTCGGAGGCCCACTATTTTCCGAACCGAGTCAACCGACCAAAAAAAAAAAAAAAAAAAAAAAAAAGTGTGAAAGGTCAAGGTCGGCAGTCCAAATGTACAAGGCGCGTTGGAAGTCTTTCAGACCGTCAGTATCTGAGCACGAGCAACAAGGAGGGGGGAAACAAGGAGAGGAAAAGTGACATCTTCCTCTGGGATACCCCAGCAAAAAAGGAGCGGAGAGAGAGAAAGAGGAGGGGGGGGGG